GGAAAATTCGCAAATTTGAGCTGACTCGTTGCCACTCAAATCAATTTTCGGGATCTGGCACAGTTTGTCTTTTTGTTTGTCTTGTTGATTAAGGAAAACTGTTTTTTTTTTTTTTTTAATTCTGATCTTCCTGTTTTTTTTTTTTTCAAAGTTCGATTAGTTTTGTTGGCTTTTCCTCTTTTATTTTTTTGTTTTTTTATTTTTTTTTTTTTTTTTTTGTTTTTTTATTTATGAAAATTTTTTTTTTTTTTTTTTTTTAATCTGATCTTCCTGTATTTTTTTTTTTCAAAGTACGATTAGTTTTGTTGGCATTTCCACCTTTCGCCTAAATAGATAAAAGAATTAGGTTTCAATGTCATCCTTGTGTAGGTCTAAATCTGCGGTTGTCCGTCTCTTGCCCATGAGTTCAGTTTTTTTTTTCTCTGTTTTTTGTTGTTTGTTTTAAATTTAGCTTTTACTTCAAAGGATGTATAATAAGTAGCAATTATTTCCAAACATTATATAGTAAGAGTTAATTTTAATATGTATTGTTTGATAAAGTGCGGCCTGTGAGTACTTTAACTGATATGAAAATAACGTGCGAAACATGACTGGTCACCTCTTGTTTATTGTATCGTACCAGGGTCTCACACGATGATACGTTGCAATATGCTAATATATGATTTAGAAGTGTCCTCATCTTATACTGTAGAAATCCAATTTTCCTGTGCAAGTCAAAATGACTGGGTTAACAAACAAAAAATGTAAAAAAAAAAAAAAATAATAATAATTTGTTTGTTGGTTAGTTGGTTTTTAAATATTAGTCTAATCATCACCTTGTCTTTATGGAACATATGTTGATTTCCGCTTTACAATTTTAGTAAAAGCGGTGTCTTTAGAAATGTATATATCTTAAATATAAATGACTTAAAAAATGTAATATACATATAAATAATATTTATAAAAATATATAAATATGAATATGTATATGCCATTGTGTGTGTGTGTTGGTGTGCGCGTGTGTCACAAGGAAAATAGTACTTGTGACTAATGATGTACGATTTCAATGGAAACAGTTAAAAACTAGTTTTATACTTCCTGGTGGTAAGTAGTCGGCAAATTGCTAGTTTCCGGCAAGAAGGGATCATTGTTTTGAGCACTTTTCTTAATACCTGTTTTCTGAAAGCCTATTTAGCATTGTGTAAGCAATATATGATGTATCTGCCCTTTCAAATATAGCTGTTAGCATAATGTTAACATTACAGTACCAAGCCTTAAACTTGAATAGTTGAAGCACAATTGTTCTTTTTTTGTTTTTGAAATAATATCGAATATTTCATTTTGTTTATACATGTAACAATTGTTAAAGTAACTTATTTTTATTAAGAATTGATGATAGTTTTACTCGCCTGACGTTTGAGAAAGATAGGGAACATTGTGGGAAAGATATGAAACATTATGAAACATATAGGGAACATTTTTTGGAATGATAGGGAACATTGTGTGAAAGATAGGTAACATTGTGGAAAAGAAAAGAAGATTTTGAGAAGGATTGGGAACATTGTTGAAAATATTGGGAACAATTTGAGAAAGATAAAGAAATGTGCAGGGAACAAATGGAACATTATGGGATAGATAGTGAACATTATTGAAAAGATAAATAACCATTTAGGAAAGATGGGGAACATTGTAGGCTAGAGATGGAACATGGTGGGAAAGAAAATTTACATTGTGGGAAAAAAAGGGAACATTGTCGGAACGATTTGGATCAATAACAATAATAATAAAAACAAAGGATTAACCAAAGGCAGTTGTTATTTTACACCAGGTCTGATTATGTTGAGAAAATACACGATGGGTCATTTTAACAACACAAAAAAAAAAGATTTAACGTCTCATTTTCTATAATATGCAAGGAAATCAACTCTCCTATGTGGTAGTGAGATTGCATTGCCTTTGTCATATGGTCGTGTCAAAAAATAAGTCACTGATAGGAACAAGCAGTTGCCAGATTCCGGAATAGAGATGATGTTGTATAAAACCTGTCCATAGAGAAGATACGTTCGTTCACTTATAACAAATTCGTATTAAACGACAGTCGCAATGTAAAGAAAACTGCACTACTTTTTGTAATATGCTATGGAGATGATTCACAGACTCACACATGTCCCAAATGAAAGGATAAAGGATAGCCCATCACTATCATGTGCAACACAAGACCAAAGAATTGAAACGACAGTTCTGGTTCTTGTAGTTTTGCTCTGATCAATCGACCCGGCTTCTGTGGGGTGAGTTACGTGCCTGCTGGGATGGCCGGCACCAGTCCCATGACCACTTTATATAAGAATATTTTCACACTACCTGCGTCAGGAAACTCCTCGACATCAGGTGGCAAGACAAAGTCCCCGACACCGAGGTCCTCGCTAGAGCGAACCTACCTAGTATCTTCACCACTCTGATGCAGTCTCAGCTCCGTTGGATGGGACACGTAGCCCGTATGGCAGACCACCGGCTCCCGAAACAAATATTCTTTGGAGAACTCACGATAGGCAAGCGCTCCCAAGGAGGCCAAAGAAAGCGTTACAAAGACTCACTGAAAGTGGCACTAAAGGCCTTCAGCATAAACACTACTCAATGGGTGCAGACAGCCCAGGACAGAGCCAGATGGAGAGCTGCTGTCAAGAAGGGGGCTAAATCCCATGAAGCTAAGAGAATAACCACAGCTGAGACACGCAGGCTTGTCCGAAAGAGCAACATTAGGTCATCGTCTGAAGCAACTATTCCATGCCCACTGTGTCATAGATTATTCCGAGCAAGGATCGGTCTAACAAGCCACCTAAGAGCTCACCGTAATCCCAACCCCCCCGCCCGCCCCTAACCGGATGATTCGATGGTCCTTGTCGACTTCGACGGACGAACAACAACATATAAGAATATCTGGCGGAGTCCCTCTCATCTGCTGGGATGGCCGGCATCAGTCCCATGACCACTTTATATAAGAATATCTGGCGGAGTCCCTCTCGTCTGCTGGGATGCCCGGCACCAGTCCCATGACCACTTTATATAAGAATATCTGGCGGAGTCCCTCTCGTCTGCTGGGATGGCCGGCTCTAGCCCCGTGACCACTTTATATAGGAATGTTAGGCGGAGTCCCTCTCGTCAGCTGGGATGGCCGGCACCAGTCCCATGACCACTTTATATAAGAATATCAGGTGGAGTCCCTCTCGTCTGCTGGAATGGCCGGCTCTAGCCCCGTGACCACTTTATATAGGAATGTTAGGTGGAGTCCCTCTCGTCTGTCTTTAAGGGAGGGGATTTCAAATTTTTTTAAGAGGCCAGTGATATTAAAATATTTTTTTTAAAATATACTTATTATAGTTAACACGTTACACATGAAGGTCATTGTATGAAAGAGATAAAATAACAACCCGAAATGATAGTCACCTCATATATAATCATATGTACCGGAGTTCAGACTTCGGCCTGAATATGGACGTGTATCCGCATTTTTTCCACTCAATATTATTAGCTTAATATAAATGGAATTAGGAAAGGGGTAAGTTTTGAAGTTTTGAAATATGCCACACTATAAGCAATATATATATATATATAGAGAGAGAGTGAGAGATAGATAGATAGATAGATAGATAGATAGATAGATAGATAGATAGATAGATAGATAGATAGATAGATAGATAGATAGATAGATAGATAGATAGATAGATAGTTAGATAGATAGATAGATAGATAGATAGATAGATAGATAGATAGATAGATAGATAGATAGATAGATAGATAGATAGATAGATAGATAGATAGATAGATAGATAGATAGATAGATAGATAGATAGATAATAGATAGATATCGGTAAATATGTGTTAAAACTGAATGTATGATTGTGTTGTCATTTCATATTTTTTTTTAATATTTTTTTTGTTAATGTTCTATTGTCATTGGTCATGCTTATTTATAACAACACATGTTCATACTTATGTAACATTTTAATTGCATCAGTGTCGTTCGTCTAGTATACACGTATGTGTCACACACATGTAAATATGTGTTTGAAAAAAGTGTAGATGCCAAAAATTTAAATATATGGGTACAAAATAAAATAGATTAAGGCTCATTAAAGTTCGCATTTTTTTAACTGTTTAGACATTCACCAGGACATAAATAGACGCTTGAGATGTATAAATTATTCAATCTTCATTATCTTTAATGCCTTACAGTTGTTGTTTTGTTATGGGGGGGGGGGGTATTAATACTATGAATTCGAACATATCCTCTGAAATGTTAATTACACGAAATTTAGTAAGGAAAAAAACAAGAAAACAAGAAAACTAATAACACATGTTTTTGTACAATTTAAACAAAGAAAACATGTTTATTATAAAGTAACAACACTATTTCCAAGCCAAATTACCAAATAGCGGATTGTTTTTGTCCATCAAGTCTATCAAGCAACATTGAAAATAGTCATTAAAAATGTTTAAGACATGTACATTTTATTAGACATACATTGTTTGGCAAATTATATTGTGCTTATCTGTTATTTATAGGCGTAGGACATTTTAGTAAAGTTCTAGTAAATAGTTTAGTTTATAAGCAATTTTTTTGAAAAAAACAACAACAAAAAACACATAATTTTACTTGAAATTTGGGGGATCTGATTTTTGTATCCGTATTTTAAAGGACACAATCATCATCAACAAACACCTGCACAGTTAATATATATATATATACAATTACTAAACTACTACAAAATGGAAACGTGATGGCTAAGCGTTGGCATTGTGTAAAAGAAAATGAGAAAGAAAAGAAATAATTAAATCAATAAACTAAGAAACCAAACACCTCTAGCAGTCCACTGATACTCTGGTCGTATTTAATCTAACAATACATATCTAAAAATACTGAATAGAGACAAGGAACGAACAAGGATGGATTCATATTAGTATTAACATGCGTACCACATCGTTTTGATTATATATATATATATATATAATATGTATATAAAGTCAATTTCATGATAATGTTTCGATTACATTTGTGAAGAATATAGTTAAGCTCATGCAAAACATAAATCAAAAAATGAAATACTATGATATATTTACATCAATTTGCATTCTTGTATTAACCCATGCTTCATCTAGTAAAATGATGTGTGCTGCTTCTTTTTATGTTTATGTTGTTTTTAATTTTCTCGAAAGGACGTGCTAAAACGGAAATCTCCTGACAATGTGAGGAAGAGTTGGTTTCAATTTCGCTCCCTAACCAATGCCTTAGATTGACAGTCGCATTATTTATACATATGTTACGTGTTCACCACTCTTAGTAAGAGGTACCCTCGCCGGCAGGGCTTTGAGGACCAGTGATTTATTGATGACAGACCGTCACCGTTCCACGGAACACCAATTGATCAACGCCGTTCTAGAAACCTTACCAAAGGTTTTGTTTTGGGCTTTTACGCTAACGTTGTAAGGCGGTGATTTAGTTATTAATATTTCACATCACTTATATTGATTTAAAAAAATGAGGTGGATGTACAAATTTGCCACCTCATAATATGTTAATGTAAACCCGCCCACTCTTTTAATTACAATTTTTTGGATGTTAGCAAAAGATGGGTAGTAACAATTGATCCGGCATGTCAACATCAAGGACTGTTATTGTTGTCAGATAATGAATTTACTAATCCAAAGAGGTGCCACCATTTTGATATTATGATTACAGTGGAAGGTCAAAGTAAGCTAATTTTAATACACAAGGAAATACTTGAACATTTAATCAGAAGCATTTTTTGTTCAATGGTGATATAGTTGAAATGCCTATAATACGTGTTCGTAAACAGAGCGTGGCTGAAATTCGAACATTGAATGAAGTGCAGTGTGTTCATCGTCTTCTTCAATGTCTTCAGAACTTGAATCCTTACTTTGGATTGTCGAGTTTTGCTTGTCTTGCCTCATGCTGAGGTATTGTTTTAATTCCTTGTGAAGACCTTCGTAAACGAATTCGTCGTGCGTCTTTAAAAATGAATCTTTTCTCTTCAGGTCTTGGAGAATGAAATAATTCAAAGAATAGCTTATTAAAACTACGTTTTTAACAATGGCAAACTAAGTAAATAGCATAAAAAATTTCTATTTTCTTATATAATATATACATATATATAAATATATATTTATATATATATATATATACATATAATATATATACATATATACATACAGGTATAGTTGCGAATAACTTACCTTTACGTTTCGAAAACACAAAAAATCCTATCAAGACCATTATAACAATAAGAAACACTGTTGTTATTGGAACTACATAAGTTAAATGCTGCATTTCTTCTGCGTTGGTAGTTTGCTTATTTTCTGAAAAAAATAACGCACAGCAAAATTCCCTTAAATATATTCGAAACATGCATAAACCATACTTCACTTAAAACGCGTATTTGCATGCATGGTTCATTCCTAGGTTTATATTTGTTAGGTGTTTTATCCAAGTAAACTGGGGACGTTCTGCAATGGTATCTCAATAATTATCTTGTTTAATAATTACATATTGCTCCAATACATTACATTAGACATTGAATTTTATACAAACAATTGAACAAAATAAATACATACAAATTATTTCACTCAACACATACACAACGGATACAGTACAATCACTAAACTTACCATTTGGAAAATGTCTATAGAAGATATACGTAGACATGTTGCCTGATTCCTCCAGAAGTTTGACTCGTATTCCAAACGGTACATTTCTTGTGATGTTGAACAGTTTTATACTATATTGTATACCCTCATGCAGATGGATTGTTGTATTGGTGTATTGCACTATTTCCGAGGTATCGTATTTAACGCCTGTGACGTTTTCGAAATTAATTTCTGATATGGATGTTCTTTTATTCACGCAGAGAGAAATTGTGGCGATGTTGTCGAGAAAAACAAGGTTTGATGAGTTCTGAGTACTTGAACAATTCTTTGGCACATCTACAAAAGAGAGGAAAAGGACCGCAAATAATTAACACTTTTTAGACACATGTTAGCTGTTGGAAATGTTCTTTGTGTAAATAAATAAATAAATGAACTAAACTGTAACAGACCAAGTTAACCAGAATTTTTCACACGACCTAATCTTCATTCTCACAACACGATGGCATAGTGATTTTATGAACACGATGTGATTCACGAGAAAAGAGAACTTGTTTTTTACAGCGAAGATAGAATACACGTTAAGAGAGCAAGAAGGAGTGCACGACTCTTTCCTGAAGGTGGTAGACATTTTCAAATTATTTCTCGTATGGGTTATAAAAATTACCATGATGTGGAATATTGAACGTGTGTGTAATTATTGACTGCATCCTGTAATTGTTACAAGGATATCCTTATAAGTTTTATTATTTGACGTATTTATTATATGCTATAAAGTGCTGTGAATTATAACTGGAAGTTATCACTTCTTGGGGAGAGAGAGAAACAATTAAGTATGAAGAGTGGACACTGAAAATGAATCAATTATTCAATGAGCAGATGTACGCCATCCATTACAGTATAGTTAAACATGTTACCACCAAGGATTGTCATTTCGGTGTTATAACATATGTTACATAAACATTATACAAAAACGCATGCAGTTTATCGAAATTAAACCTATTGTCATATTGATAACTTTTTTTAAGAACTCACGTTTGCCAAGACTAACATGAAATGCATACTGCAGTTCCAATCGAGACTTCGTCAAAATCTTGACCTTATAACTGTGTGTAACGACGTCAGTAACGTTATGAATTTCAAGCGTGAAGTTTTTAAAATGATGGTGAGTTTGATTGGTAAGCGAGTAACGTGGCAAAGGTAATAATACTTCATCGAAAATGGATTGCTCATTTACACGGATTGTCGTGATATTCTCTTTGGTAACAAGACAGAAATGAGCAGTTAGCTTTCCGCCAACAGCTTCTATGGCAGTGTCATTTTTGGTTTCATTGCATAACTTCGGGTGATCTGGAAATATAAATAATTAGGGACATGTTTAACTGTCCTTCATTACATAAATAATTTATTATTATATTTTTAAAAAAAATAATTGCACAAATGTTTTCTGCAAGTATTAGTATTATTATTATTTTAGATAATTTTATATTGCACAGAACCCGGGCCTATTATCAATCGAGAGCGAAAAATGTTTTTAAAAATTATGCTGTGCTTACTAGACATTCTGTTATATACAATAACTTAGATGAATAAATAAATACATTTTAAAACAATAATAAATAGGAAATTTATTTTTTTGTAAAGATATACTTATCATTAACAATGTAATACGTTTTTCCCTAATTTTTCTTCTTGTTAAATGCTAATGTGGGTTAATGAATATAACTATGTAGAAAATAGGAATTTCTGACATCAGAATTCGAAAAAATATTTTAAATCTAACATTTATGTATCTCAACTCTTGTAACTGTGGTACACGAAGTACAAGACATGAATTTATCCTGTTCATAATTGTTTAAAAATAATTTAAAGCACTTGATACAATTTCATACAAAATTAGTTAAGTCTAATCCCTTGTATCGCCACTTCATCAACTCTTTACAACTATTTTTTACAATTTTAAACCTAAGATTTTTTTTAAAATCTTTAAATCGATAAGACATTTGCTTATTTATTAAAGACATATGTAGCATATCCTAATGTTTGGAAAATACTGGTCGGTTATGACAATGTGCTTGTATCATCTCTACACGTTTAAAGATAACGAGTAATAATTTATGGGGCTTAAAGAAGTCTGTTTTGATGAAAACATACTAATAATTCATTTAAGTATTCAACTTCATCTGTTCATAGGGTGTTTCGCATCTCTTACAATGCGGAAACTCAAGAATACTGTTTATGTTATTGTTGTACGTGCCTTTATATATAATTACAATTTGTTGTAGTAATAATATTAATGCCGTAAAAAAAAGTTTTAAAAAGTTCAAGGGTATTGTGACTAATTAACGACTTTAAAACAATGGCTGCATCCATTGTATGCTTTCTACTGTTTTCTACCTTCCAAAAACGTTACATTAAAATTGTAACGTAGAGTCAAATTAAATTCTGTTTCGAGTACTACATAGTAGTTCAATGGTGATTCCCTGGTTACATTAAACACTTGGAGAGTGTAGTGTATGCTTGAGTTTCCAGTTTCAGTGCTAAGTTTGTACAAAGACGAATCTGATGATATGTTATTGAAGAGAGTGTAGTTGTCGTTAACTGCAATGTTAACTATACTGTCTCTAGACATGACACAAAAATCAGCCGTAGCGGTGCTTTCAATGACGTTGATAACAGAGTTGTTTGTGGTGGTCTCACACAGGCGGGGCATTTCTGAAATAGATTAGTCAACTTATTGTCAAATCGATTGATGATGTTAGAGACTTATACTTTAAAACGCGTTCATTTCTAAAATCTGCATAGACTCATATATATTATGGTGATTTCGAAATTTTGAAATAATTAATACCAATATTATTATTAAAGTTGTTTTTTTATAGCGTGGTGCACCAGCCTAGGACTAGCCTCACCGCTCTTCACCAAAAAAATAGAAAAGAAAAAAATTATTTTAAAAATGAAACCATACATAAAATTATTCATTTAAAAACAGCTTTGTACAAATAATGAGCTGGCCCACCCAAGTACTATCTACCACTGTCTAGTCATGGACGGCACGCAGACGCGTCGAGGATCGTTTATCAGTCAGAGGGGTGTGAGAATAAGTCGGAATAATAGTTTGAAGAGATTTCTCTTGAGGTCATTTTGTAGGCCTGGATAGTCGGTATATTGCGGATTTGTAAAGAGAGAGAATTACTTTATTTTAGGGCACAGAATAAGAAGTTTCGTTCTTCGTTTGCTATAGTGCGTGTCTTAGGTACAGTAAGAATCAACGCGTCTGAAGATGAGCGAAGCTGTCGAATGGGTGAATAGACAGAAAGAAGTTGGGTTAGATAGGAAAGGCATGAATCAGATAAAAAGTTGACAGAGAACATAACGTTTAAAAACAAGGCTTGAAATATACAGTATATATAAAGTTGAAACTTTCAAATATAAGCAGAAAGTTAATGAAAAAAGTAGAGGATAAATCGGAGTTGGGTAAAATAAAGAACTAGAATACTTTTAAACAAGACGAAACAAAACAACGAACTCGTCGACTAGAAGCCTTCTTCAACGTAAAAACAACAACGGTAAAAGAAATAAAAAATAACATTCCACCTAACTAAAGATTTAACACGTTGAGTAGCTTTATATAAAAAAGTGAGTCTTGTCACAGCTTACATGCAGTTTTAAATTGAACTATAGGAAATAACATGAACTTAAATCGGAAACAGATCAGTGTACACATCTATTAAATAAGTACATTAAAAGTTTATTATTAAATATTTAAAATTAAATTATGGGTACTTTTGATAGCTCAAACTATTTCTCTTTTAAATGTACATACCTTTTCGCTCTAATTGAATGTAAATTATCAAACTATTTTTGGTATGATTTTGATTAATTTTTATTTTATATAATCCAAAATTTTCTGGCTCTGTCGGATTGTATAAAATTATTTGCATAAAATTGCTCAATGTCATATTGTTCATTTCAGGGCTTAGATGGTAGTTCATCAGTTTTGTGTTGTTAATGTTCAGGATTTGTCCAGACATCCCCGACATTTGGCCAAATATGCAGACAGTGAGGCTGACTGTTTCATTAACTGCTGCACGTAGGACTGTGTGATTCTGTGTAGCGTTACACAGTTTTAGATGACCTAGAAACGGAATAATATTACGTGAACAAAATGACAAAAGAAAAAGTAAAACAAATAATAATTATTTTTCACTTACTAGGCTTTATTTCACATGTAATTAGAACCAATGTTCTATGAATTTTAACTTATTAAACACTAGCCTATATACCAGACGTAGTCCAGGATTGCTTTAAAGACCCCATCCTGATGGGACAACGATCCCATTGGGATCATAATCCCATCTGACATCGATCAAGTTGCAGTCCTGTTTCCCCGTGTGCCGCGATCCCGGTGGGATACCGTATTCTTGTGACTCCGGATCCATGTTTAATCCAGATCGCAGTGGTAACCCATTCCCTCCGATGTCTTGATCCCAGGGGGATCCCAATCTCGGTGGATCTCGATCCTTGTGGCATGATGATCACGTTAGCACACCATCCTCTGTGGGATCCCGTTCCACCTAGGGACCCCATTTTCCGACGTTACCCGATGGGATCGCGTTACCGATGGGTTCCCTTTTTTTTTGGTTCTCGTTCCCCATAAGGATCCTGTTCCTCTATGGGGTCATGCTCAGTGCGATTTTGTACGCATATGCTTTTCGATCCCACAATATATCCCCGTTTCTTGAACATTTTATATTAAATTTAATATCATCAATAAAACTTGTAAAAAAATACTTTTCTACTTTATTATTTCTCAAAATATTATACAACTGATTGGTAATACAATAACTATAGTACAGTTAATTGAAATAGTGACCCCAGTTGGGAAAATTTAATAAAGTACCGTTTAAAGTATCTCTGAGATGGGAGGCGCTATAAAAAAAAAAACATGCAGATAATATAGAGACTTAAAATTTGAAATGTGCCCCATAAAAATTGGTTTAAAAATGCTATATATTTAGCTTTTTATAAAATTATCTAACTTTTTTAGAAAATTCTAGATCGGCACTGAATGATTTGGATATTTTTAGTTTTAAATCAATCGATATTTCAATTCGGACAAAGTAGGGTATTGCTACCACACTAATCCTATATCCTTCAATTCACATACTTCCTATTGCGTTGTCTAAGCCTATGGCTATTTACATAGATTATATTAGGAAAAAATAAAATGGGGATGAATATTATGAATTCAGCACCCTTCGGTTTTTTAATATGGATTATCATGAGGAGTATGCGTACTAAGTTTGGTCAAGATTTATCGATTTTGTAGAAGTATTTGTTTTTAATTTTGTTTATATAAGTTATATTGGAATAAACCACATTTTGGGCCCCGGCCCCAAACAGAATGTTATAAAATGTTCATAGCCCCCCCAAGATTCTCATCCAAGTAAAGATATATATATATATATATATATATAGATATATATATGTCCCACGTCTGGAAATTGTCCATTAATCCATACAAAAAAAATTTGTGGAAAAAAAAACAAAAATAATTCATTTATATATATATATAAATTTGAATGGTATTATTAACTCACTTTAGTCTAAAATTATGCTTTCGTTATTTACAGCCATTATTGTATTTCGCTGTATCACTATTACCATACGGCTACATCCTAACATTCATCTTTATTGTGGGGTGGTAAAACAACTTGAGATCTCATATTATAACTTACAATCAACAATTGGGACATAAACATCTTTCGAAATTGGAGGCTGTTGTTCGTACTGAGCAATACATTCATAGGGACCTATGACGTCAGAGCAAATTTTATTTTTAACAACTGTCTTTGAGGTTGAGTTATTGCTCTTGGTATATGTAGCGTTACTCCTAAACGGCATCGGGTACTTTCTCTGAATGGTTAGATTACGTGGAGGCTCTGAGACGTTGCAATTTAGCATTAAATCAAAGAATTCGCCAGTTTTGTTAAGGCTGAAGGTAAAAGTCATGTTCTTGGCATCTGTTTTTAAAATATATATTGTTAAATATATTTCTATTAAATATTATAAAACACAAAAACAACCCAAAATAGACACACCTTACATATAATTTATATGATTAAAATATATTGTTATTACATTTTTTCTTAAATTACAAACAGGTTTATACTTAACCATTATTCAAGTTCATATTAACAAATTATTTTAGTGAGAACTATGAAATGGTGTGCATTAATTTATTCTTAAACATAGTTTATTTAAAAAAAAAAATATCCTTCTCTCATTTTTTGAAAAGCGTTACATTTCAATACTTGTAACGTACAGTACCACTTATGTGGTACATTAAACTTGTATTTTTTAACTAATGGTTTGAGGTGTAAAGAGAGTAAACGCATTGTGTATCAAATGAGATAAGCAAAGTAAAGCAATATAATTTTGTTTTATACTTTATATGTAAATAGATGTTTGACTCAAAATGCATTTTAGCAAGTGCATGTACATGAATATAAAACACTGTCTGATGTGAACTTTAATATTTAATACAGATAACCTCTACATCAAATTATATCCTAGCAAATTAAATGTGTCTTAGGCAGTGGCGTAGCTAAGGAAAGTGTTGCAAGGGGTTGTTAAGTTGTTGGCAATCCCTTCCACACAAAAAAAATAACAAAAAAAGAAAACACTCTAAATTCGGCCACGAATGCCAAAAAAGAATAAAAACCAACTGCCGCATTGTGCTGACCACCCACACCTTAGCACCTTCCTCAGCCACTGTTATTAGGTATATAATTATCTTACCTACATATCACTACACAAATGTTTTAACATGTATTACAGACGTTTTTTTAGCATTTACCTTTGCAATAAACCGTCGCGCTTAAGATCATGATTGGCAGAAGTGTGTAGAGCAACATGTTTGTGTTCTTCTTAAAACGAGGCCAGGGAATACTTCAGGGAGAAAATGTCACACAATAAATCAAAGTCAATACCGAATTTAAAATAATAATAAAAATGGTAAAAATGCCAATGACAATACATATACATTAATGAACACGACCGGTTCATATTTCAATAAGTTTTGGTTTCATCTGTCTCAGTTTTCAGAACATTTCAAATACACTAAGTTAAGGAAAAAGAAAAAAAAAAAAAACTCAAAAAACACTTAAATATTTTTACAGTATACTCTAAAAGTTACTGTGCTTAAACTTCAGAATCTTGGAAGCAAGTGTGCTTTGGCTTACGTTGAATCGCTTCAACCTCAACGTGTTCCTATTGTTAAATATTAATTTATATTGGTCTAGTATTTTTGGAAATGGTTCTTTCAATGGATGAAAACTTATACAAATATGACCACCATGTTTGTTTAATACAACATTTGTCGTGGAAGATGACCATTGTTTAAAAAAAAAATGACAGAATAAGTCTGAATGATGTTTAATAAATACTATTATTTAGTACAGCTGAGCCGACTATCTTTACAACGAAATTTCGACGTTTTGAAAATGTACCAAGTCAACCACTGTGTAAGTCTCATGATAAAACAAATTGATCTAATTGCAACGGAGACAATACAAATTTTTTTAAAATCAGAATCCCCTGTACACCTGGGTTAAAATTGTTACAAACCACTGTTAAGCGTTGTCCAACCATTCACGACTGTTTACTCAACGGTTAACTCTAAATACTCTGCCCTACATAGAGAAAACATTTT